TGCTAGACTACTTTCTCTCTTAATAGATTCATTCAGAAAAAATTAAAGCCTAGACTTAAATTCCAAAATTACTGCAGAGTGAATTAATACTTTCCTTCCATGCCTCTAATTTTAATGTAAAAATACCTTACAATGAAGACTGGTTGGGGAAAACATGCTGGTAGCTGGGGGATCTTCCTGCTCGTGGTCACCTCTGCCAACTGCAGCTGGGCTTGCTGCATTACCATGATGAGGCAGTGAGGCGCTCTGCCCCAGGGATGCTCCATGAAGGTGACCCAGAACTGGGCAGAGTTTCTGAGGTGGAGGTCTGTCTGCCAGCCTCCACTGGCTAAATCCGGTGTGCTAGTCTCCAAGTTTTAACGGTAGCAACTACTTCTCTAGCCAAGCTTTGCTAGATACCCACTTCCTCTGAGACTCTCAGAGTCCTCAACATGACCTTTGTTTATTTTATTTTCTCAGACCAATTCTCTGATTTAGGAAACCTCCAGATTTCATTTCTCTTGCTGCAGCAAAAACTTCATAATTGCAAGGGAGACACTGGGACAGTACTATCTCTGTCCTGAAGCCTTGCCTGTGGGTGGATGGTTGCAAATGTGTGTCTTAGCTGTCGGCGGAAGAGTGACTGTGGAGTTGAAGTCTGTGTACAGATGTAAAGGGCTTGGAGTAATGCCTGGTATATAGAAAAGCCATATTAAAAAGGGAGGTGATGGGTAAAGGGCATGCTATGCAAGGATGGGGGCCTGAGTTCCATCCCGTGGGAGAAGCCATTCGTGGGGGTAATCGCTTGTAATTCCAGCTTTTCGGAGGAGGAGACAGGAGGCTCCATGGGGCACATTGGCCATCCACCTTAGCCTGTGTGCTGAGACTCTCCGCACAAGGTGGATGGCTCCCGAGGAACAATACCTGAGGCTGACTTCTGTTCTACACACACTCACCCAAGTGTGTGTACACTTGCACCATTTCAATGCACACACTCAAATGCACATGCTTCCACATACACACACACACAATAAGTGTATCTGCATGCCCACAAGTGCGTGTACACGCGCACGCACACACACACACACACACACACACACAAAGAAAGACAAATAGGTGGCAAATAAAGAGAAGAGCATATGGAAATATTAAGTATTTCTGAAGACAGCACTGGATGCAAATGAAGGAATGTTTTTCGGTGATTGGAACTGGGTTAGTGAGGGCCCGAGCACAGTGGCAGAGTGTGTTATTAGCTTTTGTTCTCACTTATCTGCTGACTGTGGAGTCATAGCCAGTGCGCAAATGTACGTTGAAGTAAGTGAGCAAACGAATGCCCAATAGGGCAGAAGATTCTTCTGTTTTTTTCTACAGCTGGTCACAGTGGCAAGCCAATCACCTCAGCACTTGGGGAACAAAGGCAGGAGGATTGCTCAAAACGTGAGGTTATATATATATATATACACACACATATATATATATATATGTATGTATGTATGTATGTATGTATGTATGTATGTATGTATGTATGTATATATGTATGTATTACATGAAAAGCAAATGCTGTTTTGGGAAACATGCCAAGATACACAGTGAAGCTGGGTGGTGGTGGTACATACTTTTTAACACCAGCACTTGGGAGGCAGAGGCAGGTGGATCTCTGAGTTTAAGGCCAGCCTGGTCTACAGAGTGAGTTCTAGGACAGCCAAGGCTACACAAAGAAGCTCTGTCTCAAAAACAAAAACAAAAACAAAAACAAAGCAAAAACAAAGAAACAAACAAAGAAGAAAACACAGTGATTTCCTAGCTGGCTACATGTGGTCCTGGCGCTTATTCTAACAATTGTCCTGCATCTCCTGGGAGAGCTGTCTAGGTATTGAAGAACCTTTACTTTTTCTTGCTCTGTACCCACGCTCACCTAGAAGATGCTGGGATTAAAGAAGCCATGTCTCAAAACTGCATTACCTCTAGGATTAGGCTACTAATAACTGTTTCATACTCATCCCAGCTAACAGTTTTTAGGGAAAAACCCCTTCCCTCCCCTCAAAGGCCAATGATGTCATGAAACAGTCATCATCTGGTTTGTTCTAAGCACAGCTTCCATAGAGCTTTAGAAGCCCCAAAGAAGTTTAAATTCTAAGCTTCCTTACCTATCTCACACCTCTTCCTGACATACTTTATCTTCCCACTCTAGGTTCTCATATTACACTGTCATATGCTAGCAATTAGTAATTCTAAAATAATAGAAACAATCATTAGTGATGTGTAATTATCTTCTCTTCGAAAGCAAAAGATCCTTTAGCATGAATTGTCTTGCCATCAGATCATAATTCATCTTGATAGCAGGTTTGATGGAGTTACAGGAGACGTGAGTCTGGCTCATTAATGTTATTATTGTTTTTAAACTCTCAGTTGCAATGATGCTTCCTAAGTATTAATTAATCGTCATGACTTCTCCGGGAAGTAGGTTAAATATAACTAAACTAACTCCACCAGAAGAGAAATTGGCAAGTTGGCAATCCCAATGAATCCCTCCCCGTTTTCATGATATTCGAATGAGAGCAGCTGAGTTGGGTTGAGTTTTCCATGGTGATCAGTAGGCATGACTGTCATGTTCTACCAGTGCCCCCCCGTAAGAAAGGAAATTTCTTGAAATATAATGAAATAATAAAAAGAATTATAGCAAGCAAGTCTAAGTTTTGAGAAATATTAACTGAGTTTACAAAAATACACTCTTTTCTTCTGTGTTTTAATCTTTCTTCAAGATTTATTTTTAAGTGTTTGTGTGTGTGTGTGTGAGGCGTGCAGGTGTCACAGCACATGTGTGGATACATGAGGACAATCATGGCTGTCAGTCGTATCCCCTCGTCTTGTTTGAGGCAGAGTCTTTTGTTTCCTGCTGGCTTGGAAGCTCCCCGGGGATTCTCCTGACCCCTCCTATCTCCTCACAGGAGCACTGGGATGTTAGATGCCTACTTCTGTGTCTAGTTTCTACATGGGTTTTCAGGGTCTGAAAGTTAGTTTGTCAGGCTCCTGAGGTGAGTGCTTTTTCCCCGCAGAGCCATTTTCTCTGGCCCTTTGTTGAATGCTTAAGAATGTTCAAACTCACTGAACCAGTATCAACACTCATCTTAGCATGAACTGTGAATTTAGTTCTTCTGTTTTCTTCTCAGATTTTTCCCTTTAGGGATGTATGAATAAGCTGTCAATAGTTAGAATTATTATATTTCCTCTGAAATACTAGCGGCATTATGGAAAAAATTCAGGAATTTCTAGAAGCACATGGCTCAAGGGCCAGGACTGGCTTCACATCTGAGGCCTGCTGCCACCAGTCTGGCAAGGGATCTTGAGAGGGCTATTTGTCTTTTCTTGTTGCTGTTTTGTTTCTAATGTAGATCTTCTTTCCTCATAAATTATGGGAACAACACGAGAACAAATGTAGAGTGCCGATTCTTGAAGAGTGATCGATAATAGACTTGCTATTAATCTCATAAATCAACGCGTCAGCCCCAGGGATCAGGAAAGAGCAAGGATTATTTCTTAATTTGAGACTGGGGATGCCAGATGCATGCATTTGGAGGTCTTGGTTCATTTTCTAGTTCTTGCTTCCTCTTGTAGTCCTTGCTCAGCACTTTTTTTTTTTTTTTTTTTTTTTTTTTTTTTTTTTTTTTTGGTTTAGGGTGTGTATATGAACTCCTTTGAGTCTGAAACAAGACTTGGTACATAGTGAATAGGAAAAAATTATTTTGGAATGAGTGAACAAAAGTGAGAGACTTTTAAAATGAAGAAGAGGGAAAGGGGCGAGCCCAGTGCTCTGTCCTCCGTGGTGCTGTGGTGAGGATGTGAGGCACCCTCCTCAGGGGTATGTGTTTGAGCATGTGGTCTCCATCTGGTGGTGATGCTGCAAAGCTCTTAAGATGTGGAGTCTAGCTGGAGAAGTGAGAACCTGGGAGGAAAGGAGGGCCTTGAGGTTTACAGCACACCCCATGTCTGCTTCTACTTTTTTCTGCTTCCTCATGTGGCCACATGTGAAAAACAAACTGCATTGCATGCAGGTGCCACCCAGGCTCCTGTCGCTGTTCCTTGCCTGCACGTTGAACTTCATCTCTTGAACTGTGAGCTGAAATAAGCTTCTTCTTCCCTTAAGAAAAGTCACCAAAGCAGGTACCCTTGTGTCTTAGTTAGGGTTTCATTGCTGTGAAGAGACACCATGACTAAGGCATTTAATTGGGGCTGGCTTATAGGTTCAGAGGTTTAGTCCGTTATGGTCAGGGGAGGAAGCATGGCAGCATGCAGACAGACGTGGTGCTGGAGAAGGAGCTGAGAGAGTGCTACATCTTGCTCTGCAGATAGCCAGGAGCAGACTGGGCATGTTTGGCACTGGGTGAAGCTTGAGCATGTAAAAGACCTCAAAGCCTCACCTTTGCAGTGGCCCACTTTCCCTAACAAGGCCTCCAGTAAGGCAACTCCTTCAAATAGTACCACTACCTATGGCCAAGCATTCAAACATATGCGTTTATGGGGGCCATAGCTATTTAAAATACCATACTCTGGGAGAGAGAGAGAGAGACAGAGACAGAGAGACAGAGACAGAAAGACAGAGAGAGGCAGAGACAGAGAGAGTAAGAAAGGCTGAGAGGGTTAAGATGGATGGTCAAAATGCAATACAAGCTGCAGGCATAGGATAAAACAATATCCAACTTCAGGAAAACACTAATTGCTTTGAGTATAGAGGGGCAGGGGGAGGGGGTTGGCAAAGTTAGCTTTTTCATCCCAGGTCTCTACTGTTCTTTTCAAACCTTAAGACTTTCTAGATTTACTCCCTATAAAGTCTAAAATTGTGAGCATACAAGGCGTATTGTGTTGAAACGAAAGCCAGCACCACTTAAAGTTTTAAAAATAAGTTCTCATTTGAGCTCTTTAGATTCAAGCTTAGGCAGAGACAACAAACAAGCAAGAAAGGGCACTGCGTTGGTTGCCATGGCACCAGAGCATCGGCGACTGCGTGAGGGTTAGGAACTTACCTGTGTAGATATACTCCACGTAAGCAGGGTGAGTTTTCATGAATACCTCTTTCACCTTTTCTATCTTACTAGCCCTTATTTTCGTGGCGAAGGGCGTGTACATGACTGAGAAAGCCTCGGCCCTTGTGATGGCTTCTTCAATCATGGCCTGAGAGGAAGCAAGCATGACCCACTCAGCAGCAATAATAGCATAAGACTTTTTGAGAATGTGAAAAATATAATTACCTTATGGGCGATTTAAAAATCTATATGCCGTACAGCAAAGATAATATATTCTAGTCTTAAATATTCATTAGGACACAATTTAATTAGTTTTGAAAATACTATTTCACGTTTAAGAAATCCAATTAACTGCAGAAAGTTTGTAAACAGCCACCTGTGCCCCAAACTTGTCTTAAGATAAAAATAAAATTCTGTTTTTCAAGGTGTCTTTTTTGCTACTTGATTTAGAAAATCAAATTCTTAGGTACAACATTATAACCAATTTACAGATGAATAGATATTGGCTATCAATTGAAAAAATATTTTCAAAAAATTCACTAAGCCACCTGTACTAAATTATCTTTATAAGAAGCATAGCACGCTGGACACAGGCTTTTCTTCTCCCATCCTGGGGAAAACCTTTAGCAGTAAGAGCCCTTCTCAGCTCCCCCAGAAAAGCATTTGTACCTCCAGATCGAAGGTGACTTGAGACAAATTCAGCTATGCAAGATGTTTCTTTAAGTTACATTTGCTCACATGCTGCTCTCCCCCAGGCTGTGCCCTCCCCCAGCACTTCCTATTTTAAATAGGCCACGGCCGTACTTGTGTCAGGTTAAAAAATAAAAAGAGCCATTTCAAAACTTAAAGGGTGTCTACTCTTTTTCGGCAACTTTTCCCTCTAAAGGAGTCTTGAAGATTTAACAAAAAGTGTGTCTATAGCTACCTCCTATTTCTGAAAATAGCACAAAAGCATATTACATTAAAAGTCCATATATATCTATAAGAGTAAGAGGTTTCCCCTGACAAGACTATCTACAGCCAATGAGAAAAACCAACAGAATGGAACTGTGTAACAGTGGGGGGGAACCAACAAACAAATTATATCATCATCAGCATTGTATTTTGAGCGCATTAATAAGGTGAAAGCAAGAAGCTGATCTTTTTCTTTTTGCAGGGTTGCCTGGGCCATTTTCATACAAGTATGTGCTACACTGTGACTATTCCCCACACGCCCCACCTCACTTTGTACACCTTGTGTCTCCTGAATCCCCTTGTTCCCTAGACAAGTTTGCTTCTTTTTTTCCATGTCACCAGCAGTCCACACTGTTTTATGTATCTTGATATCCAGGACCCACAAACAAAAGAAAATGTGATATTTGTCATTCTGAGGCTCACTTAACTCCATATGACGGTGACATATCATTTCTAGTGACATTAATTTCCCTGGAAAAAATCCATTGTACAAAGATAGCATATTTTGTATTCATTCCTTTGTTGTTTGACAAAGCTTGGTCTTTAATTTAGCTGGTATGAATAGTGATGTGCCAGTGTCTCTGTGATGTATGAACTGGGGGGCTTTTGGGTAAATACTGGGAAGTGGCATAGCTGGGTCATAAGGTAGTTCTAGTTTTGTTGTTGTTGTTGTTGTTTGTTTGTTTGTTTTTGTAATTTCCACATCGATTTCCATAGTGTCTGGACAATTTCACATTCTCACTAGTGCATAAGGCTTCCCCCTTGTCCAAATCCTTGCCAGCATTTTTTTTTTTCCTTGATGGTGGCCATTGGGTGATACGGAATCACAAACGTAGGTTTAACATGTGGATACTGAAGTTGAACACATTTTTCATGTTTAAACGGTTGCTTATATTTCATCTTTTAAGGATTATCTGTTCATTTCAGTGGCTTATTTATTGTTTGGACTGCTTGGTTTCTTGTTATATAGCTTGAGTTCTTTGTATATCTTAAGTATTAGTCTTGTCAGCTGTATAGGGAGGGAAGATTTTCTGCCATTCTGTAGCCTGTCCTGTCTCTTCACTTGCTTGCTTCAGAATGTGCTGTGAACAGCTTTCAAATCTCATGGCGTCCCACTTGTCAGTTAGTAGCACTGTTGAGTGAGGAGTGAATTCCTGAAGGAAGTGCTTGTCTATGCTGATACCTTAAAATCTTACCTTTAATTTTCTGTCTAAGAGTGTCAGAGTTGGGGATCTTACATTAAGGCTTTTGATCCATTACAAATTGCTTTTCATACAGGGCTAGAGAGACTATCTATGTCTTTGCTATGTCTGGCTATCCAGTTTTCCCAGCAACATTTGCTGAAAAGGCTGCCCTGTGTTGATGTATGTTTTTGGCATCTTTGTAAAAATTCAGGCAGCTGTAGCTACATGAGACTATTTCTGGGTCCTCCATTCTTCCCCGTACTGATCTGTTCTTATATCAACACCACATTGTTTTCATGACTGTGGTTCTATAGTATAACTTGAAGTCAGGTATGGTCTTCTTTTTGCTCAGGATTTCTGTGGCTATTTAGAATCTTTTGTGCTTCTATATGGAGTTAAAGATTGCTTGTTCCTATTTCTGTGAAGGATTGATATTTTTATGGGGATTCCATTGAATCTGTGAGTTGGCTTTGGGAGACTAGCCATTTTCACAGTATTAACTCTCCAAACCTATGAGCTTCCATTAAGTTGATTTTCAATTAAGTAGCCTAGTTGAACTTAGTCATTGCTTGTTTCATTCCTCAGTGAATTCACATGGCCTCTATGATTACCATGCTGCCTGCAAAGGCAGCCTTGCTTCTTATAATGCAAGATATTCTCCTTTTTTGTTAGGACACTCATAACCTTGCTTTTTCATGTTCAGGGCACTGAAAGGGGTTAGAGAGTGGAGTTGTTGGACATCATTCAGATGGAGTAGTCTTTGGCCATGGTTGTGTGGTAGGATCTTTGTGCTGTGTCCTAGGCCAACTTTGCAAGGCTAATTGGGGCAGCACAGGTAGCAAGTCTGGAACTCAGATGCAGGTGAGTAAAGGTTCTTGATCTTCAGTTAGAAAAAGTCTCTTGAGATTTTTGCTCTTACATGCTCACAGCTGAAACCATCCCTGGGAGGGTCATTCTAGACCAAGTGATTGCAGGAGAGGAAGGATGCTGCAGACCTGGGGTTCAAGGCCAGAACTTGGTTTTATTATTTATTTAAGCTGTTCACTCAGCTAGGACTACCATAAGATAGGACCACAGGCAACTTACGGACACAACAAAAATTCATATTCTTCTAGCTTTGGAAACTGGAGGATCAACAATGAGGTCTCAGCAGGATGAGTTTCTTCTGAGACCTCTCTTTTTCTCTTGGAGATCGCTGTTTCTTCTTGTCTTCAAATCATCTTTCTTCTGCTCTCTCTCTCTCTCTCTCTCTCTCTTTCTCAGTGGAAGTTCCCGGTTTCTTTGAGGATTGAGTTTTGTCATGTGACATTTTGCTGCAAGCTGGGCATGTGATGTTTTGCTGTGAGCTCTCACTTGTGAGGGGCATGATTTTAGCCTGTTGAGAACATCCATGGGTGGACTCTGGGGAGAGGAGATATATAGAAGCCCACATGCAGTGAGACATCATTTTTTTTTGCATCACCGTTGCTTCAACACTGCAGCTTTCGCTGGCTTCTTTTTGCTGCTTGGTGGACTGGACTTTCTCCTTGCTTTGGGCCAGACTGCTGGTATCCTGACAACTGAGTTTGGTAATCCCCTAAAGATCCATTGATCCTAATAAACAGGAAGTAGACAAAAGAGGTTTGTAGCCCTTTCGCCACTAATCTACCTAAGGTTGTGGGGGTGGAGGAGAGGGGAGGTAAGTGTTCTAAGGAACCTTAAATAAAGTAGGTTTGGTGGAAAATCTAAGCCTACTGTCTCTGTCTCTGTTTCTCTCTCTGTGTGTTTGTGATATTGGGGTTTGACTCTAGAACTGTCTAAATGTAAGGCATGTGCCTGTTCCCTGTGCTACATTACCAGCTATCTTTTGTGTGTCTTAATCACCTCTACTCCTATTGGACTGGTCCGCCACAGAACACATTTTAACCTAGCCCTCCTTTCAAAGAGCCCATCTCCAAGTACAGTTTTATCCTGAGATATTGGGCATTATCACTTTACTTTGATATATTTGAGGGGTGAACAAAAGTCAGTCTATCAGTTTCCAAGAGCTAGACTGCTTTCTACTGGCCGTTCTGAATATCTTGGAAGTGGGCTTTTTTTTTTTTCTTCTTAAATTTGGTTGAAAGAATTAGTGAAGGTATTTAATCTTCCAGCTTGCTTTTAGAAAGACATTAACAAGATCACAGGACAGGATGGGAGGAAACACTCTCCACACCATTTCTTTTCCAACTGTTAGCAGTATAAGGGAATGCTGGCAGGGTAGCTTGGCGAAGGCATCTCACAGCAGGGATGGTACTGTGAATGCCCAAGAACTTGGACCAGCTTTGAGGCAAGTGGCAGAAGTGTGGTTTTCATGTGGCAGCTTGATCTGCTTGTTGGCAGATCTGTGCCCTTGGCTTACGGCTTCAAGCCATGCATTCGGGACATCTCGAGACTCGCTCACAAAGGTGTGTACTTGCCGGAGAGCAGACTCCTTCCTCTCACCGGGAACCAACACGGCTGATTCTTCTGTCTTTTGTGCTGCATCGGGCAGACTTTCTACACCATTAGTGAGTAAGAAATGCAGTTTCCAGCTAGGCATGGTGGGAACTGTCTGTGATACTATCACTGAGTGGGTAGAGACAGAAGGATCAGAAGTTCAAGGACAGCCTTGGCCACATGAGGGAGAGAGCTCTTCTCACAACAAAAGAAAACAATGAAAGAAGAAAAGAATTCCAAGAGGATGTTTGCTTGAAGAAAATGGTTATAACCCTAAGGAAAAATGATTGTTAGTTACCATAGAGTAGAAATGAGCGTATATATTGCCTTTGCATTGAATCCTGAAATATCCTCATGGTGTATTGTTTTATTTCTAGAACCAGGCAATCTCTTGGACTTTGAACCTGTGTCATATTGTTCTGGTAAAAGGATATAGCAATATTTCATACATTACTCAGTGGTAATTGCATTCTTGGGTAACTGGTTAATGGAGCAATGTAGGAAAAATTCAGCCTACATTATTAAAAATGAAAATTTTATATTCCAGTACCAC